GCGTGGGAGAGGCTTTCTCCGCCTCGGCACGACCCAGTGACTCCAGCTCTGGCCTCAAAACTCCTTCCCGGGTGGAGCTGGACCGATAACACAGACCACAACGATAGCACTACTTAGCAGGTCCCATCTCCCTGCTGACACACGAATGAAAACCAATCAGGTTCAAAAAAACAGTAACACTCCCTTCCGGTGGCGATGTGGTGAGGCAGGCACTCTTAGACGGTGCAGAATTTTATCCGAGCCTCAAAAGCGTGCGTATCTTTTAAACCCAGAATCTAGCTTTGGGGAACGCAGTCTAAAGAAATAATCCAAATACAGATAGGATTCTGGGCACAAAGAAGCCCCTCGCCCCTTACTTACAAAGGAAAGACACAGCCTACTTCAAAGCAGCAGGAGATAGTGGAATTAATTCCAGTGGGGCACTCAGCGAGATGTTGTGTGGTCATTGAAAATGATCTTTGCAAAGGTTTTGTGATTCTTTGGATTTGTTCACCGTATGGAATTAAGTTTAAAAAGAAAAAAGAGAACGCTAGGCTTCATAGCAGCTGTATAGTTGAATCATCAGCTCCCTGAGAAAAACTGTAGGCAGAATAACCCAGGGAGAGGGTGGGTACAGTGGGCCCTATGTCACTGTGCCACCAGCCCCTGCACTGTGACTGCCCGGGGGTCGCAGCTCTTTGCAGGAAGACAGAGGGAACAGAATTCTGTTCCCCGCTTCGGCATGATGGTGGGGCCTCACCGGGCACTCGATTTGCCCCCCCCGGCTGGCCTGGGGCTGCCCGGCACAAGGGAAGAACACCCCAGTGGTCATTCACATATTCATTCATTCAGGAAAAATCAGAACCTCCTCCCCGCCGGCACCGTCTGGGGCCCTGGCGATACGCAGGCTCCTGTCCTCGGGGAGCTCTGGGAGCCAGACCGTGAGGCAGGAGGGACGGGCTCCCTCCCGTCCCAGCTGAGGAACCTGCAGCTCAGGAAGCCTTGTCCCCCCACTCCCGCCCCCCAGCGCTGCGCGGCCAGACCGAGGCAGGCTCTGGCCCGTCTGCTTGTTCATTTCCCCATCTGCCCTCTAGGCCTTAAAGAAAGACGGTGGCGTGCCCTGGTCCGGGATGCTGGCCATTGTGCACTCCTACGTCACCCACAAGACAGGTAAGACAGTCTTGCTCCCTTCCCTCCCACCCCACCCAGTCCCCTGGGCTCGCCCTGGGCCCATCCGCAGCCATTCCTAGCCAGGGCTCTGCGCGGAGGGACCCTGGGAGTGGTGCGGCGTGCAGGGCCATCACTGTGGGGGGAGCGGGAGGTCATCTCCAGTCCCTGTGTCCTCAGCCACGGCCACTGGCTTCTGCGGGAGGATGTGGCCAGAACGGCCCGTAGGCTCGGGTTCTCCGTGCTTCTCCCGCTCGCCCACGGCCCGGCCTTTTTGCTCACCTAGTTTGCTGGCTCACCTGGCCTTCTCTTTCCTAGTCAAGGTAGAGGAGAAGCAGAAGCTGCTACAGAGAGGCAGCGAGCTACAGAGCGAGCTCCGGCAGCTGGAGGAGTGTGACCGGCGCCTGGCCTCGGCGGTGAAGGTGCGCTGGGGGTGCGGGGCAGGGGGCTGGGGGACCTTACGGCCGCGAGATACCAGGCCAGGGTTTCGCTGTCCCGTCCCTGAGGCCCCAGGAGAAGACGGACTCACGGACGTCGCTCCGCGAGGCGGAGTGCAGCTCTGATCCGCTCGACGTTCAGGTCTTGAGCGGTTGGGCTTGGGGCTCCTTCCTGGCTCTTTGACTTTGGCAAAGCTCTCGGAGCCTCAGGCGCTTCGTGCGTGATGTGAACGCGATGATTTCTCTCCTGTAGTGTGGTGGTCGTGATAATGTGATGGTCACGATGGTGACGGTGGTGGTGACGATGGTGATGGTGGTGGTGGTGGTGGTGATGGCTGAGGTCGTGGAGGGGATAATGGTGGTGAGGGCGGTGCCAGGCCCTAGTGAAACTCTTTAAAGGCGGTATCTCATTTAATCTCTCAAGAGCCCGGGCAGAGGCTCTCTGATCATTCCTATCTGGGAGTCGGGACGCAGTTTCAGGGGATAGGAGCGGTTTCCCCGAGCAGCAGATGGCTGATGCTGTAGCCTGCGCGCCCGTCCTGGCTGCCTTACGCACGTGACACGTAGAGAGCCCACCAAGAGGCAAGAGCACGGCAGGCGGGAGCAGAGCAGAGAGCGGGCTGGCAATCCGTAGGTCTCCTGCAGGGGCTGTCGTTGAGGCTGAACCGGCCCCAGCTTCCTCCAGGAGGAGGAGGGGTAGACGTGGTCAGCAAGGCAGCACCACAGCCACGAGGGAGAACGTTCCACGCTCTGGCACAGGCACGCCGTTTCTAGCCCTGAACTCTAAAACGGATTTCTCCTGCGCTGCGGGAGGCCCTTGGCCGGCGTCCTTCGGGCCCCCGCAGTGGAGGGGAGGAGCTGTAGGGGGAGAGGGGCCGAGAGGGCGGCGGCCCCCAGGACGCCTGCACGGTTGAATTCTGAGAGCCTCCCCCTGCCCCTCTCTCCCCCTGACAGAAATGCCTAGAGCTTAAGACGAGCCTGCTGGCCCGGCAGAGGGGCACCCAGACATCCCTGGACCGCCTGCGGGCCCTCCTGAGACTGATACAGGGCGAGCAGGTGCTGCAAGTTGCCATGACGACCACCGGCCCCGCCCCGCTGCTGGCCGGGCCCTGGACCAAGCCCTCGGCAGCAGCCATGCACCCCGCCCTCCAGCAGCCCCAGGGGCACAACTGACCCCGAGGGACCGGCTTCACACCCACGGAAGGTTCCTGGGACCCCGCTCACCAGACCTGAGGGTTCTGTCCGCCTTAATTCATAAACACTATGAATTTCAGACGAAACTAAAAGCAGACCGAGAGAGAGAGACGGAGGAAAGAGGGGGAGAAGGAACCGGGACGGGTTGGGATGCAGTCCTACCCTCCACGTGCGGACGGGACCCCAGGAGGCCAGGTGGGCGCGAGACGGCCGGGCGCACAGTCAGTCCCCCGGCCGTTGGGGGGCTGGCCCGGGCCCCTGGCTTCCAGGCACAGCTGTCTCCCGGCCTCGTGCTGCCCCCGGGGGAGACAAGGGCAGAGAGAGGCTGGGAGGCGAGCCGGGGACCTAGCTCAGTAGTAGGGGTAGTTGGGACAAGCAGTGGGTAGCGGATCTAGGTAGGGGCCCGGGGCTCGGGGCTCGAGGCCGCAGGGCTCCAGCGCCTTCCGGATCGCGGGCCCTTGTCAGTATTATTAGCGTTAAGAGTCACAGCTGTTGAACTTGAAAGAAACTACACTGTGGGTCCCTCCAGGGACGCTGCGGTACCCACCTGCCAGGGTCCCCGCGTGCCCCCGAGGCTCCTTCCCTTAGCTGATCGTTTGGACTCCTTTGGCCGCCGACGTGTTTTTCTCATGGAGTTTTGCGGGCAAGATGGGCCTGCAGGCACGCAGGGGAGGCACGTGGCAGGTTTTCTACTTGGGGTTGAATCCTTCAACTTAACGACCGAAGCCTTTTCCTTTTCTCCCCTCGAAGAGCCGATAAAGTGTTCCACTCCTCTTTTCTTGCCAGTACAGACACTATGCCAAAAAATAACTTTACATTTTTGTATGGCGTTTTTATTGTGAGCTATTTAATGTGAAGGGGGGATGCTTGCGGACTTCTTTTCCCGCTTAGGGTAGTCTCAGCTGCAAGGTACGAATGCAAAAGCCCTTCCTGGGGGACTCCCAACCTGGAGAGATCCAGAGGGTTCTTTCAGAAGGAGGCTGGGGGGCGGGGAGAGAGGGTGGGGAGGGAGAGGGGGCCGTGGCCTCTGGAGGGTTTGGCCTTTGGAGACTCGAGAGTCCCTTTTCCTGCTGCCTCCTTGAGTTAGTGAGAGCGGAGCGCGCCGTCCTAAAAGGGCTCCCGAGTCTTGGGCTGGGTCGTCACACCCCGCCTCCGGCTTCTCCGGTCCCGAGGGGCCTAGCACAACGGGATAGGCGTCAGGGAAGCCACAGGGCTCCCACCCCAGCATATCACACGGTGCCGCGCTGCATCGGACACACGTGCGTGCGTGCACACGCGGCCCCAGACACACACGCACACGCGCACGCCGACAAGTGCAGAGCAGGGAGGCTGGCCAGAATCCCACGGGCTGCCGTGGTCCCTCCTGTCATTTTCTCGACTCCGGGAGAAACTGTGCTGTACGATACAGATCTATTTTAATACACTCAACACTGGGTTGAACAAGATTTTTATATTCTTTTATTGATGAACAAAGTGAGCTGTGAGACACACGTCTTCTATATTGGTTACTCTAGATGCCAATTGTGTGTCACCGCGTGGCTTGCGATGTAAATGTCTTCAGGTTCCTTTCTGTTGGTTCGTTTTTCTTCTTGGATGGATCGGATTCCATTTT